AAAATCCCAAGGAATCTATAAAAATCTATGAGTAATAATTAAGTTCTGAAAAGCTACAGAGTACCAGATAAATTTTTTTTTTTGCAAACTAATGAAAAACATAGAAACTGAAGTTTTAAAATATAAATATGAAATGATAAAAGCTTACCTTTAGAAATGGAAAGTTGAGATTAAAATATGGGCAGATATATTCTAATAGTCATTAGTATTTCTTCAGAATATATTAGTTTCAATAATACAAAATTGCCAATATTATACAACTTTGAACTTGTAAAAATAACCTTATATGTGTGCCTTTTAGGCTTTAGTAAGAAATTACCAGCCTTTGGAAAAGGGATGGGTTGGTAATAATTTATACAGTTTATCTGGGTAATTGTAGTAATGAATTTCTATTATTTCATGTTGGGGGAGAATTGTAGAAGTTGGCTTTTCATATCTCTAAGAATAATTTTGAGAGTGTATTTCTTTTAAAAGAAAGTCTCTTGAAAAAAAAGCACAATGAAGATTCTATTATATTCTATGTGCTTATAGATTTGAAAGTTCATAGAAGGAAAAAGGAGTTAGATTTGTTGAAGTCAGTATGGTACTTGATATGTTAACAATAAGTTAAAACAGCATACATTCAAACTCCTAATTAAAAAATGTGTCATGATAATTCTCCTGTTGTTAGCTGTCTATAAGTGGGCAGTTGTGGCACCTTGAGACTCCGGGAGAAGCAGAGAACCATTGCTGAAACGTGTCACATGAGCCTTCTGTATTTTGCTCATTCTATGCTCGAGCATGGCACTTAGTGTTCTAAGTCACACCCAGTGCTGTGAAAGATTCAGGAAAGTGTGGTGGTGCAGTCCTAGGATGACGGCTTTGAGAAGTTGGGAAGGTCCAGTGAATTAGTGGGATATTGTTTTGGGTACCAGAGAGAACAGATACACTCAGCATAATGTCTGCTCAGAGAACATCATTAATAAATGTCCATTTGGGGCTAGGGAAGTAGCTTAGTGTTAAATCACTTGCCTAGTATTTGCAAGGCCTTAGGTTCAACCCCCAGCACTGCAAAAAAAAAGTCTATTTGCTTTTATTTATTTCATTTGCCTTCATCTACCAATTCCTGCATCATCATAACTACCTTTATTTTCATACACAGTTAAGGAAGAAATGCAATGTTTATAATCAAAACAACATTGAAAAGATCAACATTTATGAATTATATATCAAAAGACTAATACTGTTCAATCAGTTTTTTATTATAAATTAGTTGTGTGCAGTACATATTTAGATGGTGGGCCACTTCACATTCTTATGTTAGTCTTTTGAGTTCGTCTAGTGATTGTTAATTCAGCACTTAGACTTGAATTCTGTATATTTTACTTATTAGCAAATTATTCAACCTTTTCTGCTTCCATTTCCTCATGATAAAGTATGGGAAATAATACCTATTTCATTGTGCAGTTGATAGCAATAAATGAGGACTTACACTTTAAAAAAAAGCAACCAGTAATGTTCTGTCTACCAAATAAATGCTCAGGAACTAAACAGAATGATCAAAGAGCATCCGGAAAGGAAAGACCTGCCTGATGGCTGAAAATATTGTTATTCCCAAGAGCACCAGCAGAGGAAACTTTGTGCTTATCCTGGCCTGTGAAACCCTTTTGAAGTTACTTAGGCCCTTGTATTCTTCTAGCCTCCCACCGTAACTCTTTTGAACTAGAGTATCACTAACAATTGGTATGATTAGTGCACACCATATTTTGTTGATATAGTGCTTGTTTATGATTATAGCATGGTGTATATTTTCTTTTCTGAAATTTAAAATCTCTTAAATGTTCCAGTTATATTTATTCAGATGAAGATCTACAAGGTGTTCAGTGGGAAAATGAAATATGTAGTTAACTGATTTATTATATACCATGTCTATCCAAAATGAATTTGAGATGCCTTATAGGGTTATGCCAAAATATAGAACTTGATTACCAAAGACAACTTGAAGAAAGATTTGGTACTTGACATGCATTAATATGCTGGCAACGTTTGTATATATATATATTTGTATATATATATTTGTGTATATATATATATTTTTACTTTATAAAAGATAAAAAGTTAAAGTGTTTAAATGATCTGAAATTGTGTTTTAAAACAGGTATTGTCTTCATTTACTGACAAAGAACTCTCTGCATATGCGAAAGCGGGAGCCGTGGCTGAAGAAGTCTTAGCAGCCATTAGAACTGTGATTGCATTTGGAGGACAGAACAAAGAACTTGAAAGGTTTGAGCTCCTTTTTTAACGTTGCTAGAAATATTACATTCTCTGTCATCTCATATACCTGACAAACTGACAGTGTGAATTAGAAGATTGTTTTCCAACATAAATGTTTTCTTAAATGAACCCCTTATATCATTACTGATATTCTGGAGAAGTCAATTTTGTTGTACACTTCTTTTTTTTTGGTACCAGGGATCGAACTTGGGTCCTTGCACTTGACAGGCAGGTGGTAGAACCACTGAGCTAAATCCCCAGCCCAAATTGCACACTTCTTATATCTGCTAATTCAAAGAATTTTCTAGGCTACAGCATAAAAATAATTTCCTAAGGCCAAAATGTATTTTATATCTCTGATGATTAACCTAATTCTTTTTTGGTACTCAGGATGGAACTTAGAACCTTGTGCTTGCCAGGCAAGTGCGGTGCCACTGAGCACCGCCCGCCCCCGCCCCCGCCCCCGCCCCCGCCCCCAGCCCTAAGCTAATTATTGATTTGCATATATTGAATGAATATTTTATATATTATCCCCGGGGTCATTTTAATCTGTGAATTATTTCCCTTCTTGTCCAGGCTCCTACTTAGTTGAAATGTGTTCCATCATTTGGAAGATAAAAATACAACCAAAAGGCACAGCTGTACAAAAATTGGAAATCTATTTTGTGATGCATTGTTTAGTACTATCCATGTGACTCATCTCTTCTGTTAGATTTCTGAGAGTGTTAATAATAATTTATTGAACGTTTACCGTTCACTAGATCCAGTGATTTCTGAACAGCAGGGATTATCTTTAAAATTCAGCATCTACTGTGATAATATTCTGACACATTTTCATGTTATGAATATATATTTCTTGAAAACAGGAAAAACTATTGTGTATGAAGTTACACGTTGTGTGTTAAGGCCAAAGGATAAGCCAGAAAATTTTTATAAGTGAGAATAATGGTTACCTCTGGAAAGATGAGAAGTTGAGTGATCAGAACAGGACCCATGACCAGGGCAGTGTGCTGTTTCTGGACCACAGCTGTGTTTATAAGAGAAAAGTCATGGAATTACTTTCACATTGTGTATATTTGCTTGGAGTACTCTTTTGTTCCTGTTCTATTTAGATTTTTGCCCAGGATATTGCTGTTTATTTGAAATATATTCCACTAATAAAATGGGAAGTTTGGCTTAATGACCAGGAATGCATCACATCACATAAAGCCTGTATTTCATGGAGCTTAAATTCTAACCAGAGGAGGGGAAGGGTACAGACAGCTAGCTACAAATAAACTAGTATGTAATACACCAGGTGGAGTAAATATTATTTGGAGATATGACATAGCCTAAGAGAGCCATAGGGGTACATTTAGAGTTGCAATAAATTACACATTTTAACAAGTGTCCTGATAAAATGAAAGAGTGTGCTGATGAGGGTGAGGAGGGAAAGCTTGCATATGGTGGTAAGGGAGGCCACTTTGAGGAGATTTTATCTGTCCTGAGAGCTGAGAGCTGAGAAAATCCTCCCATTGCTGGGATAGGGATTGGATGGTCAGAAGGAGTCATTCACATTTGCTGAGGTGGCAAAGACTTCAGTACATCCTGGAAAATATCACAGGTTTGTGTGACTGGAGTCCAGTGTAGAGAAGGGACATTGGGGCGAGCAGGGGCCAGAGTGTGGGGGCTTGAGGCCTTGGAGAAGTGTTAGGGTTTCATTCCAAGGGCACAGGGAAGTAGAATGACCATTCATGTTATATTTTAATATCATTGCTCTGTCTATAAGTGCGCTGGTGATGCGTGAGAAAGAGCGTGAGGTTGGGGAGAGGCGTAGAGGGCTGGTGCAATTGTCTGGAGGAGAGAGGCGATGGTGGCCCGATCGAAAGTGGAGGCAGGAGAGGGGGGACCAAGACAGAGGTTTGGGATTTAATTTGGAGTAAAACTGGAAAGTCTTTTTAGACCAAGAGCAATCTTTCAGTTTTCTTTAGGAGTTCTTCCATTCTTCTCTGCTACCGTGAGGATAAGCAACCAAGACTCAGTTTGATGTTTTGTTTTAAAATAGCAGGTGCAAAAGAGAGCTGGATCTCTTGGAATGAAAATTAATTGGAATTATAAATGAATTTAGCTTAATGGAATAGTTTTGTTTTCCATATTTTAAGAATATTTTTATCTTGTGTCATTTGTCATAGTATAGTACTTATTTCTTTTGCTTAACCTATTTGTCTTTGCCCTTTTAAGTAATGACTTGAATGACTGACAAATATTTTCGTCTAATTAAAAAGAATATTCTATTAGTGTATGTTTGCAGCACATCATAGTTACATTTCTTTTGGGGAATTGGTGTATGTATGTAGCATATCTTCAATCATTGTTTTATCGTTTTACTCTCCCTTCCTACCCTGTGTCTCCTTCCTCTCCCAATCCCCTTTCCCATCTTCAACAATTTTGTCTTTCTGTAAGGAAATTACTGTATTTTAAAAATAATGTTTTGGACAGACCCTGGAGGGGGTGGAGCAGGGCCGGGGAGCTGAGTAGCCTGGCAATGGGGGAGTCACCCAGAGCCCGAGAGTTTCCAGTATGGCCTCTGTGTCGACTAAGTATAATTCACACTCGATGGAGAATGAATCTTTTAAGAGGACATCTCCAGATGGGCTCCATCACGATCTCAGTGAGTCTGTTCCTCGTCTCCCAGGAGAAACGCTGATTACTGACAAGGAAATTATTTGTATATGCCCTTTCAATGGCCCCATTAAGGGAAGAGTTTAATCACAAATTATTGTCTTTATTTAAGAAGTTTGGAAACTCATTCTGCTCTAATACTTGATGTCCCTCTGGGTGTGGTCTCAAGAATTGGAAAAACGGGAAGCATGACAAATAGAAGAGAAAATTCCTATGGTCAAGATACTACTTGTGAAGATATCAGAAACCTGAGGTTCCCACTGAAACAGGAAGGCCACAGTATGAGAGACAGGTGCAAGACCCTCATGCACTATGCCTTGCCTCTGGCCCACAGTCTGCCACTATTTGCATTTTTAAATGACGAGAAGTTTAATGTGGATGGGTGGACTGTTTATAATCCAGTTGAAGAGTACTAGAGGCAGGGCCTGCCCAACCACCACTGGAGAAAAACTTTCATCAACAAGTGCTACAAGCTCTGTGACATGTACCAGGTCCTCCTGGTGTTTCCCTACCATGCTTCAGATGAAGACCTCAGGAGAGTTGCCACCTTCAGATACCAAAACTGAATCCCAGTGCTATCATGGATTCATCCTGAAAATAAGACAGTCATAGTGCAGTGCAGTCAGCCTCTTGTTGGTATGAGTGGAAAACGAAATAAAGATGATGGGAAATATCTCAACCTCATCAGGGAGACTAATAGACAGATTTCTAAACTCACCATCTATGATGCAAGACTCAATGTAAATGAGGTGGCCAACAAGGCAACAGGAGGAGGATATGAAAGTGATGATGCATGTCACAATGCCAAACTGTCCTTCTTAGACATAAATAATATTCATGTTATGTGGGAATCTTTTAAAAAAGTGAATGACATTGTTTATCCTAATGTAGAAGAATCTCTTTGGTTGTCCAGTTTGGAGTCTACTCATCAGTTAGAACATAGCAAGCTGGTGCTGACAGGAGCCATTCAAGTTGCAGACAAAGTTTCTTCTGGGAAGAGCTCTGTACTCATGCACTGCAATGACGGCTGGGATAGGACCACCCAGCTGACCTCCCTGGCCATGCTGATGTTGGACAGCTTCTACAGAAGTATTGAAGGCTTTGAAATCCTGGTACAAAAAGAATGGACAAGTTTTGGACATAAATTTGCATCTAGAACAGGTCATGGTGATAAAAACCACACTGATGCTGACTGATCTATTTTTCTCCAGTTTATTGATTGTGTATGTCAAAACAGTTCCCTACAGCTTTTGAATTCAAGGAATGCTTTTTGATTACAATTTTGGATCATCTGTATAGCTGCCGATTTGGTACTTTTTTATTCAACTGTGAATCTGCTCTAGAAAGACAGAAAGTCCCAGAAAAAACAGGTTTTTATGGTCAATGATCAATAGCAACAAAGAGAAATTGAAAAACCCCTTCTATACAAAAGAAATCAATTGAGCTTTGTATCCAGTTGCCAGTATGAATCACAGGGAACTCTGGGTGAGTAACTGTATTAGATGGAACCCCAGAATCAAGCAACAACAGCCAAATCCCATGGAGCAGCGCTACATGGAGCTCTTGGCCTTGCATGACGACTACATCAAGTGGCTGGAGGAGCTGCAGCATGCAACTCTGCCAAGCTTTCAGAGCCCCCAAACTCCCCTTCACAAATGATGTCCCATGTGCAAACTCACTTCTGAGTGGGAACCCTAGCACTTCATTTGAGCTCAAAATAAAGGAAACAATTGTGGGCATCTGTACATAGTGGATTAAAATATGTGCCTCCATGTAGAACTTGAACTAACCTTATCTTAAACTCTTGAATATGTGCCTTCTAGAATACCTGTTATAAGAAAACTACGTTGTCCCCATGGCAATCAGAAGAAAGGCCCCAAAAGGAGGTTCTGGAAAATCCTAACACCTTTAGAAAGTAGTTTTCGAAAGATAAAATTTAATTTATCTCTATAGAAATCTATGTATATGATATGTATTTTTTGGCTTAATTGCAATAGCATTATTTTAAATCAGAGGCGGAAAATGTTTGTCACGGGGGTTTTCCTCATGATGCTTGTAATACAGTAGTTGCTTTGGATTCTCTGAAATAAATCCAGATGTGAAATGTGGGTGTTACTGCCAAAACCAAATTAAGCTCAGCTTCCTCGGCATTCTCCAGAAGCAAGGTGTTAAATAATTGCCAACTTTCATATCATCCTAAGTGGTGACTTAAGGAGAAATAGCTGTCTCTGTAGGTGAGTTTTTAATTATTTTGAAATTTTGGAATGTAAAAGGTTTCCCCCTAATTTTCAAGAGAAGCATATTTTTATATTAAACTGATGGGACTAGTATATGATTTGATTTTTCTTCATGTTGCCAGTTCTACTTTCTAGACTTTCATGAGCTTGCCCAAAACTCTGAATTGTTTTCAGGTTATGGCAAGCCCCATGTATAGCACTGTTTGATATTTAGCACTGTGCAAATGTTGGCTTCCTCCTCCTGCTTTGGTGAATGTTTGCACAAACATGGTGTAGTCAGTGCAGCTGATCTGCCAAAACGTAGGGTTAACCTCGGATGTGTCAGCTACTGCTAGAGCATCATACTTTGAAATAAATGCCCTGGATGTACATTTGTTGAGTGTCTTTGAAAGTATTTTGTTATGTATTTCATTTTAAATGGTGTTGGGTTTCCCTCCCCCAAAACTTGCATAAAAACTGGTTCTACAAATTTTTGTGTTTTTTTCTTTTTTCTTTTCTTTTCTTTTCTTTCTTTTTTTCTTTTTTCTTTCTTTTTTTTTTTGCTGTACCTGGGATCAAACTCAGCACCTTGTGCAGGTGTTGCACCACTGAGCTAAATCCCTGTCCCTGGTTCTACAAATTTTTACTTGAAGTACCTGGAAGTTTGCTTTTTTAGGTTGTTTTATTTTGCAGTATTAAATAAAATTTTAAATGCACAGTTGTATTTGATATTGAACTAATTCATTTAGTAAATATATTTGTAAAAGCTAAGGCTAGAGTTAAAACAATGTGTTTTACAATGATTTGTAAAGGACGATTTATAGCTAACATGGTTTTGTTTTCAATGAATTGAGATTAAATATATCTTTGTAAATTATTTTATGTCATAGCTTAATTGGTCTACCAAATAAGACATCTAAAATATAGTGGTATAATGTATAAATTTTTTAAGTATAAGAAATTTTATTAGGCATTCTCTTGAATTTTGTAAATGCTGTAAATATTTCATAAATTAACAAAGTGTCACTCCATAAAAAGAAAAAACTAATACTAATTGCTTAAAGAATTTTGTGAAATTTCCTGAAAACTTTTTCATAGCAATAATGACTAGAGACCTTCTGTAATAAATATATTAACTAAAAACAAATGTTTTGTTATATTACTTTTGTCCTATTTAGAAACTTCTACTTTATCATTTTCATACTGAAGCTTTAAATGAATGAATGATTTTGAAATCTGGCTTTATAAGAGTAACATTGTTTTTGAAAAACTAACCAAAAAGCCTGTGTAAAAGAAATATCGTTTGTGTCTGCTTGCTCCCCTAAACTTTTATTTTCATTTATCTTTTATGGTATCTAAGTGATTATCTTCTTTGCTATTGTTCTTCCTGTGCAAATGCTACTTCTGGCTGCATAGTACAACATCATATCGGAGAAATGGTTTTGATGTTAGCCTGAGAAAAACCTGAAATCAGTAGATGATAAATACGAATCATAAGCATTAAAGTTTCTTAGTGTAATGACATATAATTTATGCTATGTGCGCCTTTTCCCTTGGCTCAGCCCCTAAAATGGGACACACACACACACACACACACACACACACACACACACACACATACCTGGCTGGGGCCTGTGGGCCCATGCTCCTGTTGTCTGGGCAGGCTTGTGGCTGGGGCTTATGTGCACTTACCCAATCATATCTCCACACCTAAACATCTTTCTTAAAAATAATGTTTTTGTTCAGAGTATAACTGGCAAGTTGAGAATTTACATATTTTATCACCAAAATGTTCTGTTTAAATTTCATTCTCAGGGGTTATGATTGCTATATAAATTTTACTTTATATATGCTTTTTAATTGTGGTAGAGCAGCCAGTTAAAAAAAAATAGTCACGAAAGCCAGAAAGAATGCATGTTCATACCTAGGAAGGATTTGAACCCTGATAGAGTATGAATAAGCTAAACTGTAAGAAAGTTAATATAATGTTTATGCCACCATACATTTAATGGATGAAGAACTTCAAAATGTGAATTATCTGTGGCATTAAGTTCTTTCATGTCAATAATTTTGAGCTCCTTTGTGCAAGGCAAGTCTTCAATTTCTTTAGGGAGTTCAAGATAAAGTGGATTAAGACAGATTTAAGGCTCAAGTATAATCTGTCCTGTGTCTCTAATAATTTTACTATGGCTGTATTTGCAGAGTTCTCTAGGCTGTATTAGCTTATCTCCATATTCCTTTCTTGAGAAAAATAGTCTGTTCCTTTGAAGGAGAGGTCAAGCTACAGATACCATCCCCTTTAGCTTTAGCATCAAGAATTATTTGCTCATGGAGGGTTTGGAATTACTTGAATTATCAGGTGGGAATAAAGTCATTAGAACTAGAGAAAGAAAATGAGCCAGTGGATTCTCACATTGGTTTTTCCTTTTTCTTTTCTTTGCTTGCTTTTCGTGACCCCCCCCCCTTTGTGTAATTCTTCATGTTTTTCCTAAGAAGTCTCAAAAAGAGTGTTCTTCATAACCTATGTGCTGTAAACGAGTTACAAGGCTGTGGGTGTACTGAAATTTTGCCTTTCTCAGCCACTAGGCCAGATCCTTTTGCATAAGCAGTGAGCTACCACGGCATGACAGAAGTTGAGAAGGCTGCATTAGCAATAAGGAGAAAAGATAAAAGAAAGGGATACTGGTCTATAATTATGGACTATTGTATTTTTTAAGCCAAATATGTTTTGTAGGTTAGTAATTTTAAAAATAGATGTCTATAGAAAAAAGATTAATCATATGGCTTATTTAAGAAAAATACTACATAGCAAAAGTCAAAGCTGTCAGTACACTTTCACACATATAATCTCACAGTGGGTCCTCCCAACAGTGCCAGATGGGGCAGGAGAAGGGACAAGCTGTCCGAAAAGATTCCCCCACTTTCAGAGATTTAAGTGATTTTCTTCTGTTTAATACTTTCTAGTATTTTATCTGCCTTTTGTTAAGTAATGAAAGTGGCACACAAATTTTGAAAAGAAATTGTTTTCATGATTCTGTTATCATTGTGTATTAAACAATATATGTTTTTAAAGTTTGCTAAACGTTGCTTCACTTACTTCACTCTTGGAAAGGCCAGGAAAAGAGTTTTAGAAGACTCTCTCACAAATAACTTACTCTCTGAAAGTCTCAGTTTTTTCCTCTACGAGAAGGAAATAATAATAGTAGTAACAGAATAGGGTCACTCTGTGGGTAACAGGAGAACAGACAAGTATGAGCTGTGATAGAAAATTATGGTGAGTATTTACATTAAAAAATTATAGTAGAAAGGACTCATTGCCATTAGTCCCATTCAAAACACTGTCTTTGCACATTCTAATCCCATTGTACCTCCACTTTCTGAAGCCCTTCTGGAAGTCCTTTTTTGTGTCTTTAGCTGGTTACACTGTTATAGCTGCCTCATTGTCCAGAATTGATTCAAAATGTTTGTTTTCATGGTCATTAAGACTTTGGGAGAAGAGTTAGAAGTCCTGTGGTGTCAGATCCAGTGGATGAGGTCCCACTGTAAATTTTTTGAGTTTGGCTTTCCATTGGATGGCATGTAGCAGCAGCTTTCACCATTTTTAAAATCAAATTTCATAAACACCCCCAAAACTTCTATAACTGCTTCAGAAAGTGACAAGAATGATGGGATAAGTATGTTTAAAGTGTGAGGGAGTATTTTGAGAACGATTAGTGGCAATGTATCTTTTACTATAATAAATTATTAAAAATTTAAACATTTACCATCTATTTGATCACATCTCATATACCATAGGGCTGGAAATATTATAATTGCTCAAAAATGTCATGCTACATTGACAACAGTTCATAAAAATATCTGAATATATTTAATAATTTTTGTTTTTCTTCCAGGTACAATAATAATTTAGAAGATGCTAAAAGAATTGGGATAAAGAAAGCGATCACTGCCAACATTTCTATTGGTGTTACTTTCCTGCTGATCTATGCAGCCTATGCTCTGGCCTTCTGGTATGGGACTACCTTGGTCCTCTCAAATGAGTATTCCATCGGACAAGTGCTCACTGTGAGTTTTATGTGAGTTGTAAAAAGGAATGAGTCACTGTTATGGCTTATGTGTAGATATCCCCCCAAAACCTCATGTGGTCATAGGTGGGGCTTTCCAGAGATCTGGAGTGTGTGATGCTGGGCTCGGGGGTGTGTAATCATTAAATTGGTCCACTGATTGGTTTGGCATAGTTCTGGGTAGGATTAAGGCTGCCCCACCCTGAATGTATGTGCTATCCTCTCTAAGGGTGGGTAACCTAGATGTATTGTAAAGGACAGAAGGAGGGCTGCTATTGTTGGTTGTTGCTTGTAGCTTGCTGCTTTCTGCCTTCTGCCTGCCATGAACCATTTCTCCTCTATGATGTCCCTCTGCTATGACACCCTGCCTTGGAGCCAACCAGTTCTGAACTGACATCTTTACAAGCTGAATAAACCTTCCCTCCTTTATCTTTGGGTGTCAGGTATTTTGTCTCAGCAATGAGAAAAGTAACTAAGACCATCACCATTAAAAATGCCAATGAGTGATATTGGCTTGACTTTAGAAGAATATGTTTTGAAAAATTATTGAAAAATACAAAAAGATATATTACTAGGTTAAAGGGTGAAAAGCACATTCACTGCTTCTAGTAAGCAGTTTTGCTGATGTTTTGCAGATCTCTTGCACAATTTCTTCTGTAGCTAAGAAGCATTAACATTTCAGATCTTTAGCCTGATCTTTCATTTGATGAGATTATTATGTCAAATCTGATGCTAAGCACTGCACTTGCATTTTCTGATTTATTCTTTACAAATGGTAAAATATACAGTTTAACTTTCTTTTAAGTTTTTAATGGCAGCTAGTCTACCTCAAAATTTATGGAAGTAGAAGTTGTTACTGTTCTGAAAAGGAATGTCTCTTTACAAGTTTTCTGTATTATAATGCTTTGTATAAGTACAGAAGAGTTGCCACTTGATGTTTTCTTCTTTTACTTAAAGACAGTGAAATAATTTGCAAATAATCTTCATAACCTGGAGGCATCCAGATTTGTGAGTACAAAACTTGGCATAGACTGATGTAGTTCAGATTCCAGCTGTATGGCTGAAATCTCAACCTTCCAGACCTCTCTGTTACCTCTTCTGCCAAGTGGACATGACAGGAAACATGTGCCCCAACTTTTAGTATTGTTGTAAGGACTAATTGAGACAATGAATATAGAAATGCTTGGTAGAGTTTCTTCTAGCTAAATTATTCTGTAGAATTTCTGGATGATTTAGAAAGAAATGAACAATGACATTAGTTCTCTTCAAATTTGAATAGAAGCAAAGTTATCTTTATGCTTCATTTACCCTCCTCATGATCTAATTAAAATTTCTAACCATTGAAGAAATAAAAACATATTGCATTAAGATATTATGGTTTCATAGACCATATGTCATTGTTTCACTGAGAAAATGAGACTAATTCTTCATTATATACATACTAAATGAAAGGATTTAGATATTAAAAAGGCTTCTTTACATTTAAAAAATTTATATAATTTTCAGTTGGCAACTTATAATTTGTCATAATTGTTATAATTTATGGAGTATAATGTGTTTTGATTATGTGTGTGATGTGGAATGACTAAATCAAACTGATTAATATCTATCACCTCATTTAATTTACATTTTTATGGGATACATTTGAAATTTACTTTCTTAGTTATAAAACAAAATATTCTTAACATCTCCCATCCTTTTGTTGCCTTGCCATTTTAAGATGGAATGAGTTATGTTGGAAGAAAGTATGAAAAAAATTATAGTGAACACTAACTTGATGGTTTTCCTTCACATTCCTCAGGTCTTCTTTTCTGTATTAATTGGGGCTTTTAGTATTGGACAGGCATCTCCGAACATTCAAGCATTTGCAAATGCAAGAGGAGCAGCTTATGAAATATTCAGAATAATTGATAATGTAAGTCTGAACTGGCAATTTATCTGTCTTAAAGAATTTTTCCAGTAATCACTTTGTCTTGCTTTCTAAAAAGTATCAGTAAAAAGCAATTACTGTAACATACTAATCTAAAATTTTATTCACTTTAGGAGCCATGTATTGACAGCTTCTCAACAGATGGGCACAAACCAGACAGTATTAAGGGAAATGTGGAATTTGAAAATGTTCACTTCAGTTACCCATCTCGAACAGAAATCAAGGTATGGTGATAAATGACTAGTCAGTGATGAAGCAATTTATTAGATGAAGGGTTTCTAATGTTAAGAGATTGTAAAAAAAGAAAAATGCAGCACAGTATTGAATTGAACTATTAATTCACATGGCCTGTATCTGTATATGTGAATTGTCTTGAAGTCTGCTTCTCCCTTGCCTTGGTAGGTCTTGAAGGGCCTCAACCTGAAGGTGCAGAGTGGGCAGACCGTGGCCCTGGTTGGAAACAGCGGCTGTGGGAAGAGCACAACGGTGCAGCTGTTGCAGAGGCTCTATGACCCCAGCGAGGGCACGGTGAGCGGGACTTGGGCCCTCAGCAGTCACCGCTGCAGATCCTTCTCGTGTTGTGGTCTCAACTGCAAATGTATGGAAATCTCATTCGTTTTTTTATTTCAGGTCACTATTGATGGGCAGGACATCAGGACCATAAATGTGAGGTATCTGCGGGAAATTATCGGTGTGGTGAGTCAGGAACCTGTTCTGTTTGCCACCACGATAGCTGAAAACATCCGCTATGGTCGAGAAAATGTCACCATGGATGAGATTCAGAAAGCTGTCAAGGAAGCCAACGCCTATGACTTCATCATGAAACTGCCTCATGTGAGTGGTTCATTCAAGAGGTGCAAAGCATAGAGCTCTGGTCCAACATAACCTGTATCAAATTAGGAAGCTACTACAAATTGGAGGAGTAGCCTAAGAATGGAAATCAAGATTAGCTCATATGTAGCAGTATCAATTAGCAGTAGATACAGTTTTAAAAACTGGGGTTATATGTTGCAAATTTTAAAGAATGGGATTTTATTACCTGTGATGCTTGGGTGGTTTATGGGATCACTTCCCAATTTAAAATGTGATGTGAAAAAACTTGTTCTTTTTCTCTGTCTTTGGTGATTTTTCTGTTGTAGAAATTTGACACCCTGGTTGGAGAGAGAGGGGCCCAGCTGAGTGGTGGACAGAAGCAGAGAATCGCCATAGCACGTGCCCTGGTGCGCAACCCCAAGATCCTGCTGCTGGATGAGGCCACGTCAGCGTTGGACACGGAGAGTGAGGCAGTGGTCCAGGTGGCCCTGGATAAGGTCTGTGAGCCCCAGTTCACACAAGCTGGTCTTAAGCATAATGACATCCATTGTTAATTGTTCTTAATCTTGGCTTTAGAAAATAAATTTCTGGCAGCTTCAAGGTGATTCTCCTTAGGGAGTAAAATAAAAGCAGCATGGATGCAAATTTTTGTTTGTTTGTTTGACTGTTATGTTTCTATGCTTCTCTGAATTTTTTTAGGTGGCAATGAATAAATGTTCACCTAAAAACATCTGTAAATCTTTTAAATTCAATAATGAGAAATATAGACTCAAAAAATATTGATGTTCATTTGGATCTTAAAAACTGAGCTATGAGATAACCCTTTTTTTAGGTTTGAACATTTATAATATTGTCAAAAAGACAAAAATACCATCAGACATTTCACATTTAATTCATAAGATGATAAATGTTACTTGAAGACTCTGGGAAATGAGAAGTATTGCATCCTCACAATAGGGGCAGAATGTCTGATGTTGGAAATCTACCTGAGTCATGAAATGTCCTTGACTATGTGCAGTGGTTGAGCTTTTTATAATCCTTGAGTTTCCAAGACCTATTCACTCAATAGAATTTAGTGTTCGGTCTGTGGAGCCATGTGTACTTGGTTCTGTGCATATAATGGTAACCAAGCCAGCTGTGTGAGGACAGAGAATGAGTAGACCAGGAAATTTCAGTGATGATCCCATATTTGTTATGATTTTCCTTTCTAAAAGTACATATATATATATCCTTTAAGCATTCTCTCCATGTGTTTAGTTAATTGTTGAACGAAGGAAAAGCAGCTTAGTAAACAATCTGTGAACCAAACTATAGGCAGATTAGTATGCAACTGCTTTTTCTTCCATAGCTTTGCTTATTAGTGATTTTACAATTGCATTTTCTTATTCATTACTTATTTTTGTTTTATTATCCTGTAATGGAGCTGTGTATCTCATCATAAAGAAACTAAATTTTAAAATTGTATTTAAAAATTTTTCTTTAGGATATAAATTTTGGGAGAGAAGAGGGAGTTTTTAAAAATTTATTTTTTATTAGTACATGTTTGCAGTACATAATGTTTACATTCTTTGTGTGGAGTTGGTAAATGGAGAGAACACATCTTAATTTCTTTTTTCATCCCCTTTCCCTCCCCTCTTCCCTCCTGCCTCCAACTCTTGACCCCTTTCCCATTTGAGAAAGATCTATCTCCCCACTTCTATTATCTATCTTTTATTTTGGTCTTTACTTATAATTTGAGTTTTTTATATTAGAGAAACCATGTGATATTTAAGCTTGTGTGTCTGATTTATTTCATTTAACATCATGATCTTAAGGTTCATCCATTTTCCTAGAAATGACTCGTTTATTTTTCCTTTATGGCAGAGTAGTACTCTATTGTTTGTAAATACCATATTTTTTATCCATTAATCTGTTGATGGACATATAGGTTGCTTCCAAGATTTATCTATTATGAATTGTGCTGCTATAAACATAAGTATGCATGTTATCACTGTTACATGATGTCCTTAATTATTTTGGGAAGATACTTAGACGGGGAATTGATTTCTTGATGATGGCCATTATTCCCGGGATAAGATGGTATCTCAGTTCTGTTTTAATTTGCATTTCTCTAATGGCCAGTGTTATGGCTTGTATCTAGATGTCCCCCTAAAGCCTCATGCAGTCATAGATAGGGCCTTTTCTGAGGCGGTTGTATCTAGAGTGTGTGACCCTGGGATTGACTCATGGTGCAGTGTTAGGCACAAGGACACTCAGATTAAGGATGTGAGAGCTACCTGTCCTAAGTAGCAGGGATAAGATATAAGACATAAAAAGAGCTGTGGTTGTCCCTTGCTTGCTTCCTTTGCTAACTTCTGCCTTCCATGACCTGTTTCTCCTCTGCAATGCCTGTCTGCCATACCTCCCTACCTTGGAGCCAGCTATGAACTGAAATCTCTACAAAATGTGAGCCAAATAAACTTTTCTCCCTTAACTTTGGGTATTGAGTATTTTGTTTCAGTAATGAGAAAAGTAACCAAGACAGCCAGTGATGAGCATTTCTTCATTGTATTTATTGGCTGCGTGTACTTCATCTTCTATGAAGTGTCCATGCATTTCAGTTGCCCGTTTTTTGATTGGGTCTTTTATTGGAGATGTCTAATTTCTTTGTGTTTTTTATGTATTCTAGATATTAGTCCTCTGTCTGAGGAGTAGCTGGCAAAATTGTTCATCATTCTTTAGATTTTCTTTTCACTCTATTGGTTGTTTTCCTTTGCTGTGCAGAAACTTTTTAAATTTGGTATCATCCCATTTGTTGTTTTTCTTCTGCAATGAGGTTCTGTTCAGATAGTCCTTGTCTGTGCCTACTGTTTTTCCCTGAAAATAACACCTACCCAGAAAATAATTTCTAGCATGGTTATAGAAGAAGCATGCCCTGCGTCTAAAATGCTAGAACTTGTTTTCTGGGTAGGTGTTATTTTGGGGGAAATAGGGTATGACTTCAAGAGTTTTACCGGCTTAAGTGTTTCTGTTTTTACATTTAACTCTTCGATCCATTAGGATTTTAGTTTAGTACATGGAGAGAGATGTGGGTCTAGAGTCAGTCTTAGCATATGGAAAAACATTATTTTCAATACCATTTTTTAAAGAGGCTATCTTTCCCGAGTGCATGTTTTTAACTCCTTTGTCAAAGGTAAAATGGTTGAATATGCTGGGTTGGTTCCATTGACCTACATATCTGTTTTTTGCCAGTACCCTGCTGTTTTATCATAGCTTTATTTGGAGTTTTAAATTTTCGTATTTTATGTTTTTACTTGTACGTGTTGGTAGCGCGTTCAATTTATAGTCATCTTGGGGAGTGGATACATGCATATAATACAGCTTGTTTCTTTTTTAAAATCCCCTTCCCCTTTCCTCTTGTCTCCTTTTCTTCTTTTCTAAAATCCCTTTCCCAATTTTTGTTCTTGTTGATATCATTGATCTCATCTCACATTTTTGACATAGAATGTTTATATTCATGTAGTTATTAGGCTTCTCTGCAAGGCATATCTTTATTCTACTTATTTCTTCTTCACCTCTCCATCTCCTCTTGTCTATTCTCTTGGACCTCTTTCGCACTTGCAAGAGATCCATCCCAGTGTCTCGTTCAGTCCATCCTTTACTGTGTTCTTTGTCCTTTGCCTTACTAAAATGAGAGATACTGTATACTACTTAAGCTTGTGTGTTGATTTATTTCACTCAGCATTATATTTTCCAGGTGCAATATTTTTCCTAGAAATGTCTTGAATTTGTCCTTCTCTATACTGAGTAGTATTCCATTATAAATAGATACCACATTTTCTTCCTCCATTTGTCTATTGATGGATATGCATGCAGCTTTCAGTATTTAGCTGTGATGAGCTGTACTGCTATAAATGTTGGTATATAAGTATTGTTGTCATATGATGCCTTTAGATCTTCGAGAAACATACCTAGAAGAAGGATATGGGTCAAGTGGATTTTCTTATTTTAGTTCTTTGAGAAATCTGCGTACAGATTTCCATAATGGTTGTACTTGTTTACATGCCCCACCAGACACTAGCAATTATTTTTTGATTTCTTGAAGATTGTCATTCTTTCTGATGTAAGATGAAATCTTAGCATTGTTTTAGTTTGTATTTCTCTAGTAGCCAGATATGTTAAACATTTTTCATATATATGTTGGCCATTTTTACTTCTTTCTCTGAGCAATGTCTGTTCATTTCATGTGCCCATTTCTTTTATTGGTCTTTAATTTTAGGTAGCCTAATTTTTTTGAGTTCTTTATATAGTCTAGGTATTAGTCCTCTGAAGAATAGCTGGAAAGTTTTTTTTGTTGTTGTTCTGTAAGATGTCTTTTCAGTCTACTAAATGATCTTTTTTTTTGCTATGCAGAAGCTTTTAAATTTGATATAATGTCATTTGTTAATTCTTGCTGTTAGTTCTTGTGCAGTTGTGGGTCTGTTTGGGAAATCCTTTCTCATCCCTATGACTTCAAGTGTTTTACCTATTTTATCTCTCAGTAGGTTCAGTATTTCTGTTTTAATGTTAGATCTTTGATCTATTTTGATTTTAATTTAGTATACGGTGAGAGATACAGGTCCAGTTTCACTCTTCTGCAAACAGATATCCAGTTTTCCCAGCACCGTATGTTGAATAGGCTTTTATCTTTCCTCCAGTTCTTTCAATTGCTTGTCCTTTGTTGTATACTTTTCACCCCTTTGTTAGAGATCAAAAAGCTGAACGTGTCTGGGAATGTTTCTGTATCCTCTATTCTATCCCATAGATCTACATGTCTGTTTTAGTTGTCATGTCGTTTTTATTACTTAGCCTTGTTCTTGATTTTGGAGGGCAAGGTTTTAGTTTTTCCCTATTTATTATGACATTACCATTGGTTTGTCATTAATAGCTATTATCAAATTCATGTAGGGTCCTTCTATGGCTATCTTCTTCAAGGTTGCTATATGAAAGGGTGATGGATTTTACTGAAAGCCTTTTCTGCATCTATCGATATGGTCATGTGGTTTTTAAGTTTGCTTTTGTTTATGTGATGCATTACATTTATTGACTTAGAGGAATTTATTGACTATGTTGAATTATCCTTCCACCTCTGGGATGAAACCCATTTGGTCACAGTGTATGATCTTTCTGATAGTATGCTACATTCTATTCACTAATAGCTTGATTAGAATTTTTGCATCTATGTTCATTAATGAGATTGGTCTGTAGTTTTCTTTTATAGTAGGTTCTTTACCTGATTTTTCAAATCAGAATGAGGGTGGCTTCCATAAATGAATTGGGGAGCACTCCATCCCCATTAATTCCTTTGAAGAGCCTGAGGAATATAGGTGACATAACATTCTTAAAAGTTTTGTAGAATTCAATTGTGAGTCCATCAGGTTCTAGAATTTTTTAGTTGGTAGATTATTTCTGACTGCCTTAATTTCATTGATTGTTGTTGAGTTATTCAGCAATTTTGTGTTTTTTTAAAAATAAGCTT